ATGATTTTGGTTCTACAGGGTTGGCACGAGCTGGTAAAGTACTTCAGTCTTGTTCAGGCTGATAGGCTGAAGAGCATAGCACCATCTGAGAATTTGTTCAGCATCAACTGTAGATCGCTGTCTTTGTGCACCAGGAGCACATGGTCATCAGCAAAGAGGGTTTCTTGAATGACTGTCTGGAGGCACTTTGTCCATGCATTCAAGCAACGAAAGTCAAAGAGAGAGTCATCCAATCGGTACCTGATGTACACTCCCTCCTTCAGATCCTGGACAGCACATGACAACATGCAAGCGAATAACAGATTGAACAGAACAGGCGCTAGCACATAACTCTTTTTTTACCCAATGTAGTTGATGTCTCACTGTTGTAAAGAACCTGTCCAGTGATTCCATTGTGGGGTAGCTGAGTCAACGTCACAAATTTCCTCATGCATCCAGAATGTCTCAGGACGATCCAGAGAGCCTCCCTGTTTACATTGTCAGATACCTTTATCAGGTCAATGAAGACAGAGTAACAACACTTGTTCTGTTCAATGGACTTCTCCTGGACTTGTCTCATGGAAAAGATCATATCTGCTGTACTCCATTCTGGCCAAATGTCACACTGGCCTTCAAGGAGGTTCTTTCTGAGACAGTGACAAGTCTGTTCAGGAGAATGCGGGCAAAGATCTTGCCTGCGATGGACAGCAGTGAAATACCTCTGTTGTTTCTTCAGTCTGATTTGCTTCCCTTATTTTTATAGAGAGCCACAATGAGGGCATTGCAGAAGTCATCAGGTACCTCCTCTGTGGACCAAATGTCTTCCAAGATGTCTTGGGTTGCCTGTAAGGTGTCTGGATCTAGTGCTTTGTAGATCTCAGCAGGAATGCCATCCTGCCCTGTTGCTTTGTTTGAGTTCATCTGCGAGATCACTTTCTTGATCGCGTCAGTAGAGGGACGCAGGTCTAGAGCATCCAAGCCTGGCAGCTCAAGAAATCTGCTGTAAGACGTCATGATCAACTGCAGACAGTCTATTGAATAGGTTGGAAAAGTGTTCAGCCTGGCAATTTTTCAGACCTTTCTGGTCTTTGATCAGACTCGACCCATCAGATGAGTATCCAGTAGCAGAGCACAGTGGACTACCACTAAGTTTTTCTGATTGATTTCTACACCACACTCCCCAAACTCTTTTTATATCCAGTCCCTTTCTATCTGAACCACTTATCCCAGAGAATTTATGAACCTTCAGATGTTGCTGACCACCACCTGCCAGAATCCCTCACCGTTGACTGTGCCAGCTGAGGTTTCCGTGAAATATGCTTCATTAGCATATGGAGGGCCATCACTGCTTCTTCCCTGACATTTCTAACATTTAACAATCTTAGAAGGGAATCCAATCAAAACTCCCTTAAATCCCTAGACCCATGGCTGAGCCGGGAATAGGTTCCCCTATATCAGAGAGGGGCAAACTGGTGTCTTCCAGATATTTTGGGCTGAAAAGCCTGTCTCTTGCCACTGGCCA